AGGGGTCAGTCCAGCAGAATACTACCATCAGATGGCTTTACTGGCAGGCCAGCGCAGCCCATATGCAGACATCATTCCTTCAGCTGCCACAGCAGGAGCAGGTGCCCTTCATATGGAATATCTCCATGCTATGGATAGTAAGTAATAAATGCTATAACCAAAAAGATTAAATGAAGGTTCTGTTATTACTGGGGGACAAAAATCTTACTGTACAATAGTATAGTGTAATAAAGTTTTCATGAAAATACATTAAGATTCCATTAAGTAGGGCTGCAAAGATCCAGACAAGTGCTAGGTGGCCACAAAGAGAGTTTTCTGTATTTGTAGCTGCCTTCTAGTTTTTTGGGTTTTGCAGTCCAGGTATGATAACTCTTCATTAAATATTATTTTGTGAATTAAAATACTTCAGTTGAAGAACTAATTTGCAATATTTCACAACATGGTGTTTTCATTATCTTTAGTAGTTATAATAATATTGATTATCGTTAAGACATTTACCAAAAAGGAAGCCCAGATCTTTCCTTGTGAGCCTTACCTTTCACTGTTGTTCTTTTCCATTGTCCCTGCATCTATTTTAGTCGAATATATTGCACTTTAAAGAGTTTTGTGACCAAAACACCTACATTTTCCTTAAAGAACTTGTATTTTAAAGTGCTTCAATTTCTGATTCATGTGCCAGAAGAAATTCGAGCCGACAAAATAAATCAGTCTTTTCAGCTTTGGATGTCATCGCACAATTCCAGATAATGACTCAAGTGGTGGACCATCCCCATCCTGATACTCACACAAGATTTTATTGACATTATGATATTTCATGCAAAGGAATTTAGCAATTTTAATTATATTTTGGGAGCTGCATATGCCATTTTGGTGAAAACTAGACATCATAATGTCTGCAGTGTCAGAAATTCTCTGGAAAGATTCAGCTTATGAAGGCATGTCCAAGAGCAACATTTACAACCACCCACTTCATCATGATGCATCAGACCACTGCACAGTTACAGCTCACTGGAGCAATGGAGGATATGCCTCCACTTGTCACTCTAGATGTTTTTGCTCAGCAGATTCTTTTTCTTGTATTTCATGTGCAGTCACTATGAGCCTGTCATCCTAACTTTCCTTGCCTTGAACATGACAAAGCTGGCTTTGAAGATCTCCTTGGTGTTGTCCTGAGCTATTAGAGTTGTTCTTTGCTGTTCAAACATAGCCTCTGCATTTCATTTGTATCAAAGCTTGATTCTTTCCTTTTTCCCCCTGGCCCTTTAATTGACTTGAAGAAAGATTCCCTGTCCATTCATAAAGTGATGCATGTGGAGTCATGATAGATGGGGTGGCCTATACATTTTATAAACAAACAGACCACTAAACAAAGAAATGCATGTGGAATTTGTTTGTGGAAAGACCAGCTCTCTGTGCTAAGAGAGCCACAAAACTGCTCAGCAGTTCTCAAAAATGATTTTGTCACTGTACAGTACATCTCTACAGTATTATAAATTGGTGAAGCAGCCATTAACAGACACTTAATATTTGATGTGTATATCTTTAGGAAGGTTACCAGCTTGACCTTTGGTCCTGATTGGACACAATCTTTGATATGGCCATAACAACTACTTCATGAGCATTAGTAGCTTGACCTTCTCCTCACTCCCCATCAGATACATACTTTGCTATTTACACAGTAAATGTAAAACACAAAGACTACAGTGAAGAAGAGAGGCTCTCTGAGTGCCATCTGTAAATTGATTCTGTCATATGAAAAGATGGGAGCCAAAGTAATTGCTAACTGCAGAGGGCCACCAGATCTTGGCTGCAAAGAATCTTAAGACCACTAGATGGCAGCAAAGAGATTCAGAAAACTTAAATTCTTTGTTGGCATCTAGTAGTTGTCTGGATTTTTGCAGCTCAGATCTGGTAGCCCTAACACTGTATAGATAAGAGCAGAATCCATATTGAGGAATTCATAGGCCATCCTTGAAAAACCATAGTTACAAGTAAAAAACATATTCTTTATTAACTGTCTGAAAAATCATCATTTTGAAATAGTGCAGAGCCATCTGGTAAAGATTTTTATCTTTACCAGATGCTGGGATTATCTCAAATGAGATGGAATTTGTACAACAAGGAGAAATAAACAGAATTTGTGCAACAAGGAGAAATAAACAGAGATATACAGTGAGAAAGTACACTGTCTATCACTGGGAATCTAATTCATAGAAGGTAGTCTAATTTGAAAATTCTGATTTAAAAAACCACTTTTCTATTAATTCAGTTATAATCAACTATTATAAATGAGCATCTAGAAAGTTTGCAGATGTACAAAATTCTGATGCAGAATTCACAGAAATGAATCCAAGCAACTAAATATGGTAAAGTTTATGTGAAGGGAAGCAATCCTTTAGCTTCTGTATCTTCAGCACGTATAGGGCCTTTACTGTTTCTCTGTCCCTTTTTAGCAGAAGTTTAGTTGCTGAAAGATGGCCTAGCAGCTAAACTGGGATGCATAGGCTAGTATCCCAAACAGTCTGTCCTCATTCACTATACTGCACAATGGTAGGGCATTGATGGAATTCCAAAACCGATAGATCAACTTACACTTGGGCCAAGGAAGGTAGAAAAAGGGTTTGTTCTTTTTCCTTCTGCAAAAGTTGACTATTTTAGTGACCTATCACTGAGGTTTTTTCTTTAGGTAACGCCACATATTTTAGTGTCATTTTAGCAGCAATTATTCTTTTAAGGGCTGTATCCTGTATTAAATAAAACAATACGTTAGCAAGCTGCTTGATTAAACAATCAGTAGAGAAATAAACTAGGAATGAATTATAAGAAGGTCATTTTAACTTCACCTTCTCTATTTGATGAGAATTTGTTTAGTCAGGCAATAGAGCCTTTATCTAAATAGAGAATGGGCTTGTGTTTTGCTTTGTAAAAACTAATTAAAACTATTTTAACTAGCATGAGTGTATAGTAAATTAATTGTCATTAAGCAGGAATTTGAGTGTCCTACCCATTCATCATGCTGAATAAACTCTTTTCTTCTTTGTCACAATTTTAGATGAAAAAAACAAAAACAAAATAATTAGCAGAAAGCCAAAATTAAGATGCTGAAACTACATTAATCCCCATGCTTGCATTTAATAGCTAAATACTACAGTCTCTGTTACATTGTGTTAAAGGCCATGTGCCTTTTGCCTTACTTTTTCAAGAAAAATGACATTTAATTGTGTTTTTAAATAACCATGTTTAAATTATTTTGAGTCAGCTTCCCTCTGTTTGGTTTGGATTTTGTTTTTAAACTACAGAAATTGTTTATATGACTGTAAGCTCATATCACTGGCTTCTTTTTTGATGATAGTAATGTATAAATCTGATAGTAATAATAGTAAAATAGATCAGTCCTCTCTACTGCTCCTGAGCTACTTCCCACTGTGGATCAGAAAGGTACAACAGGAAACTTAAGGGAAGCTAAAAGGTGACAACTGTTTTTTGGTTTTCTTAATAAAACCTCTACCCCAAATACCTTCTCACTCTAAAACAATAAAAAACAGTAAGATTATTCTTCCTGAAGCATAAATTTAATTTGCAACATAATCAAATAACATACCAATCATCTTAAATTTACCAACCAGCTTCCTACTTTACATGAGTTGCATTTCTTTATATTTCTTTATTTGGTTTATTTACATTCTACTTTTATGTTTATATAACACTCAAGGTGGCTTGCAGAAATTAAAGAGACAAATTATAAAATGTAACAATAAAAAACAATACAATTAAATACACTTCCTTGAGGAACATATTTCATAACCTGGAAGCCACACAGGAAAAGGCTACAGTATACAAAATAGGTAAGTTTCAAGAAACAGGAGGTTCATCAAAAGGACCTCCCCTGCTGATATAAGTAATTGGGCAAGTTCATAGCAGGAGTGGTGATTCTTGAGATAATCAGGCCCTAGAGCTTTAAAGGTCACCATCAGATCATAAATTAAGCCTGGTAGGCAATAATCATACAGTGCAAATATTTTACTACAGGTATCCTATGGATAGGAAGGATCAGAACTAGTAGAAAACACTGCCCCAAGGACCTAACCCTTATACTCTAGTTGGTTATATTGAAATCTACCAAGAAATGCAGGAGACCTAGCAGGGTCGTATTCATCCATCCAGCTTCCATCATAGATCATCCAGTGTCAGACTTCAGGATAGACATAGCTGTAAATTTCTATTCCTCCAGAAATGTAGCCCGGCATTTACTAGGTAACAACAGAAGGTTAAGGGACTTGATATTCCTAGATAAGATGTTTTATTTGTAGACCTAAAAGAAGCCATATACAGTGGTACCTCGGGTTATGAATGCCTCTGCTTACAAACTTTTCGGGTTACGACCAGCTCTGGCCGCAAAAATTTACCTCGGTTTGCGAACTCCACCTCGGGGTACGAACCGGATCCGCAGCC